GTGGGGTTTCAAACAGTGGATAAGCTTCCCAGACAATGGCAAGCTATGTGGTTTTAGCTGGTTAGACTCCAGTAGTACATCTCAGTGCATACTCTGGGGTCTCCATCCCACTAAACATCTCAGGGAATTTCCACGTGTAGGTGGGATGCATAGAATTCTCAGTTTGGTTTGGATACTCTTAAGCACGGTGATGGGTTTCCAGATGACTAAAAAAATTCAAACCCATAACGTTCTGACTCACAGGCAAGAGCGCCACCAACTGAACTAAGCTGACAACATGGATTTTTCCGTGTTGATGTCCATTTGAAAGTTACTGTGGTCCTATTCAGGTTCATCCTTCTTCCAGCAGCTCAGCAGAAGCTATTAAATTGCTAGTCATCGTGCAATGTGCTATGATCTGCTTCTAACGTGTGTCAACATGGAGTGTGTGTGCAGTGTATATATATGGAGGTCTCAGCCTGGCTCATTTGATAGCACTCTCACTTCTAGTCAGAATATTATGGATTCAAACCCCATGCAATCACAGTTTAGGCTGACATTTCAATGCCGTGCTGTGGGGAGCGCTGCAATGTTTGAGGTGCCGTGCTTTGGATGAGATGTTAAACCAAGCTCCTGTTAAAGATGTTAAAGATCCCATTGCACTATTCAAAGCGTGAAGGAAGTTTTTTCCGGTGTCTTGGCCAACAATTCCCCAAATAAAATTGGTCATTCACTTAATGGCTGTTTGTGGGACACTGCTGTGCGCAAATTGTCTAACGTGTTTGCCTACAAGTACACACTCAGTACATTTCAGAGCTTTACTCGGTATCTAACACATGCTGAAGCTGACCTGGAAGTGTGCAAAGGGGTTGTTGTCCTGTGTTTAACCTGTTCTGTATCTGGTGTGAGTAAGTGAACAAAATGCTGTTTTTCTGTCAGTTTTTCAATGCTGGCCTCACTCACCATGAGAATTTTTTTATTTTTCACAACAACTTGCATTAATATAGTGCCTTCACAAGGCGTCTCGGAGCACTAAATAACGTTAGAGATTAATGCCAAGCCAGGCATAAACGGAGGTGACTGTAAGCACAGTGGAAGAGGAAAGTCTTCAGGTGTGATCTGAATATGGGCAAAGAGGGAGCAAGGATTGAGACAGGGAGTTCCAGAGGTTTGGGAGTCGTGGCTGAAAGCACGGCTGCTGATGGTGGAGCAGAAGGGACAAGGGACCAGCCGAGCAAAGAAGGCGGGTAGCAGAGTGGGCACATTTGTAGACGTATTAAATGAACCACCCAAAATATAAATAGTTCTCATGCTCTCTGGTTAAATTGGTAAAATATTATTGCACAACCCATAAACTTCAACATTAATCATAGATGCAACATATTTGTGCCTGACTGGAAAGTTACGCGACAGAGAGCTAATGCATGTTTTTAAGAACCAAGTGGAATGTATTGGCACTAATTACTTGAGACGAGATTATAATTGGGCAATAATAAATTCATAGAGGACATTATGCTTTAATGTTTGCCTCATAATTGTATCAATAATGGATGCAGTTCTGCGAGCTCCCTTGATGGGGTTCTTCAGGGATGAATATTAGACGATATTCCATGGCTAGAACTTCATATACATGTCACTGATGACACATGATCTAATCTGTCATCAATCCTGCAACCGCACATGAATGTGCCTCTGATAGTGCTTCTATCTGCCTCTCTGCCTGGTGTACATTTCACTGAGTGATTTACTTACAGTAGAGGGAAATTCAATGACTGGACATTAATTCCAATTAATTCTAGCGTTTAATCTTTTATGTCAGGTGGACGTATTTTAGTGACTGTGTTTTAAAATAGCATATAAAAGGTATTTGGTCAGTGACGTTGGGCAAAAGCACAGTGCACATACCACATCTCTCACTCTGTCTGACATTCTCTGTCACACATACTTACTCTCTCACAGACACACTCTGTTACATACGCATATTCTCTGTCACACACACTTGCTCAACTCTCTCTCACACTCTTCCTCTTTCAACCATCTCTCACGCATTTGCTCACAGACTTTCTCACTCGCTCATACCCTGACACACACACATTCACGCACTTACACGATTATTCCAAAACACTCTCGTAATGTCAGGCTGGCTCAGTCGATAGAACTTTTTGAGTCAGAAGGGTTCAAAGCCCCACGTCGAGGTAGTGACAGTGGGCACAGGGTGGAGTGGTTAGTGAGTTCGCCTCGCAAGCGAGAAGATCTGGGTCCAATTCCTGGGCAGGGCAAAATCCTAGACAAGTTTCCCTACTCCACATCCTCTGTTTACCTAGAATAAGCCTCTATTTCTCTGTTCATCTGCCAAATTTTACCCCCAAAATACAGTCAATCCAATTCACAATATATTCTGTGAAGCACTTGGAGAAGTTTCAATGATGTAATTTGCATATACCAAACACAAGGATTATTATTATTATTATTATGGAGTGGGTACAATAACAGTGAGGTTCTGCTGCCAGTGGGATATTGCGGAGAGCCACATGGGCACATTTTACTGTGCGTTGGAGGTGCCAGCTGAGGATCATTGCTAACAGCTCGCAGACACATGGGCACGATTGCAGTCAGGTTCATTTTTACCTTTGAATAAATGAATGAATATATCTGTAAACAAAGCACTTCCAAAATGTTGGCAACTGTCCCCATCTGACACACTGGCACTCTGATTGTATATGAAACATACACACACACACTCACACACTCACAAAATCCATTCATAGCTGGTGGTCATTGCCCAGACCTGCTAGTTCAATCGCTGCATATTAAACCAGTGTGGAGCTGGTGTAAGCCTAGACCCTGGTGGAATTTCTATCCCCCCCCACCTCCCGGCTTCTGCCATCAACCTGCCTCTTCAACTGCACCTATGGTCACCTGCCCCCCAACCCCCAAACTCATTGTTCATCACCACCACTTTAAATCTCCCCGAGATGTTATTCAACGTGAAGGCCCGCTATATAGATGCAACTTGTTCTTGCTGTTGCTATGTAAATGCAAGCTATTGCCCTTATTCTTGCTTGTATGAATAATAATGATCATCCTCGCATTTGATAAGGTGCCTTTCACGTCGGTACGACATCAAAAGAGCTTCACAGGATTTACTGTAAAGTGCAGTGACTGTGTATTTGTGGGCTAAAGAAGCAGCCAGTTTAATTTAATTTAACTTAATTTAGTTTGATTTAATTAATTTAATTTAGCAATGTCCCTCACACAGCCATAAAGTGAATGACCAATTTTATTTGGGGAATTTATTGGCCAGGACCTCGGAACAGAGGAACTTCCTTCTCTTTTCGAATAGTGCCACGGCATCTTTAACATGGGTCATCCCATGTGAAAGGTACTGTATCAAATGTAATGATTGCCATATCATTATTACTGGGAACAGATGAAATATTATATCTGGCAACCACCAAGCGTGATTCCAGAGATGTAGATTGGAGTTTATAATAAATAAAAATAATAATCCTTGCAATTGATATAATAATAATAATCCTTGCATTTGGTATAGTGCCTTATCACATCTTCGAGATGTCTCAAAGCGCTTCTTGAAGAATATATTGTAAAGTGGAGTGACTGCATATTTGGTGGGAGAAACACGGCAGCCAATTGCGCACAGTAGTGTCCCACAAACAGTCCGCCAATCGACTAACAACCGGGTTCCTACTTATTGCTAGATAAACATCGTGGAGACTTGTGGAGCAAGGAAACTTGCTTAAGGTTTCGCCCCACACGAGAATCGAACCTGGGTCCTCTTGCTTGCGAGTCTTCTAACTAATATGCTACAGGACTTAACGTAGTGGGAATGAAGATATTTAATGTCATCATGGCCATATAGCCACTCTCTCTCTGAAGTGTCCGTACTGAGCAAAGGAGAGCACTCGGGTCAATCGGATGGATTTAATTAAAATTCCTCTTCAAAATAAAACCCAGAGGTTTTCTGGTTTGATTTTTGAACTTTGTCTCTTTTTTTTAAAATAAAAAAGCCTCAACTCCAAAAAAACTAGAAGCAAACCAAGAGTTTTATGTGACAAATAGAAAAATAACACAATCTATGTTTCACAGTACACCTAGCAACCGGTGGCTGTCCCCAGGAAGCAAAAGGAGTGTTTAGTTTCTGAAGCATTCAACAAAGGCCCAAATAGGTACATCTTCACATTATTACACACTAAGTACAAAACAATAACTGGCACTAAATTGGTAGAGTATTGCACTTTTATTTTAAAAAAAAAAATTTGTTCTCCTTCCATTTACTAAATCGATTTAAATCCCTCCAAAAATTCATATTGTTTTTATGTTCGCGTAATCCTGACCTGAATTTGCATGAGCTTTATTGAAGGGATCAATACTTTTCAGGATTTCCTCCAATGATTCGCTGGGTCATTGCACTGAGTTGCAGCCCAGAAGGAAAGGAAAGTTTGGGAACTTTACAAGCTAGGAGATATTTTCTTCCAGCCCCACCACTTGTTCAATTGGCCCCAAGCAGGTGGCTCAAACAATAAATAGCGTAGTGATCAGCACTCTTGCCTCACAAGCAAGAAGACCTGGGTTCGATTCCCGGGTGAGGGCAAAACCTTATGCAAGTTCCCTTACTTCATACTGCTCTGTTTACCTGGAGGTAAGTGGGAACCCAGTTGTCAGTCGATTGGCAGATCACTTTCCGGACTTAATAATCCCTTCAAATAAACAAACAAATAAATAATTTGTCACTCAATCCACAACTATTTGCGGACACTGCTGTGCATACTTGGCTGTCGCATTTCGCCCACAAAATATACAGTCAGTCCACTTTACAGTATATTCTGTGAAACGCTTTGAGACGTCTCAACGATGTAATAAGGCGTCATATCAAATGCAAGGATTACTATTATTATACTGACTGAGAAAATTGATGTCGTTGGTGAGTGTAAATTATGGCTTTATTTTTCTACCTGTTCAGTGAAGCTGCTGACAGAGCCCCCTTGATTTATTTCCTGCAGGTGAGTGCAGCTGCCAGGAGAGATACACGCAAGATCCAGTTCACAAGCATCTCTGCATCAGGAACGACTGGGGGACAAACCAGGGGTGAGTGCCCACTCTTCCACACATCTGCATGGTTCACCCCCTCTCTCTAGCAATTGGCCACGTTTCTCTATTCACACATTCACCAGGTTGGTCCGGATGCAGAAGGCCCCTAGGCTCAGCTGATCTCATCCCTCCAGAACACCCACCTTATCATCCTCCCATCACAGCATCAAGCTGTTTATTTATAAGAGTCCCAGTTTCCTGGCCTCAACCACCCTTTCCAGCAACCTGTTCCTATTGTTAATCACCCTCTGTGATCATGCTATTGTGATCATCATTATTATTATTATCATTATGTTTTATAAATGAGATCTGCCGGCATTGGGACAGATTCTCCAGGCGGACACTTAATTTCCTTCAAGTCAAGGGAGAGCCTTCGCAGTGCTGACGTTATCAGATCTGAACAGGAATCCAACAGAGACATGGGACGCCGAGGGAAATCTAGACGGCAACAGCACTTCAACATTGTTCCCTGAGGAATTCTCTTTATATTCTGAGATTTGCAGATATCTCTCTCTCTCTCTCTCTCTCTTTTTTTGGAGAGAGTGGAGTCTTAGTGGAGTCGTGTAGCGTACTGGTTAGAGCCCTCGCCTCACATGCGAGAGGACTTGGGTTCGATCCCCAGACAAGTTTCCTTACTCTACACGCCTCTTGTTTACCTAGCAGTAAGTAGGAACTCGTTGTTGGCCGATTGGCAGATCGCTTTCCCGGGGTATTAGTGATAATAATAAAACACTTTACAGCGTATTCTATGAAGCACTTTGGGCGTCTTGAAGACGTAATATGGCGCAACATCAAAGGCAAGGATTATTAGTATTATTTTTTTTTCTCTCTCTCACTTTCTTTGCCCTTTAAAAAATCGCTGTACAGTGCGAGAGTGCATCTGCCTCATTAACATTTTTAATAAAGCACAGCAGGAGGCGACGGGTTGGAGCTGGAAGTGAGCGAGATGATTCTTGTGTAGGAGCACGCTGATAATTACAGCAATGAGGAAAATGAAACAGTGGAACATATCTGAGGTGTGAAATTGCTTTGCCATCAAACACTTGTTCACTTTCCATCCAATTGTGGAGCCTGTATGAAATTTAATTGAATTGCTGGTATCGTGGAAGCAAGCATTAAATAAGCTTGTTCCACTTTTAGAAAGAAAAAAATTCCCAGGGAGAATAGGACAGCTCTATCGGTGTGTGAAATGGAATCAAATACAATGAATTTTTTTTACACACACACACGAACATCACAAAAACTTCTAACCCCACCGTGCACTCAATCCCCGACTATTTATGGGACACTGCTGTGTGTAATTGGCTGCTGCGTTTCAGCCACAAAAATACACAGCGAATCTATTTTTCAATGACATGATAAGGCACTATTGTCAAATGCAAGGGTTATGTTTCTTAATATTAACATTCCTTGATCAGTGGTATTTAAAACATTTTTTTAAAAAAGCCTGTTTGATCTGTTTTACCTTAAGATTTTGAATGCTGGGCTGTAATTATAAGCTTAATCGTCATCAGAGGGATTTCTTCTTCTCAGTGCCAGATACCACCTCGAAAGGTCGTGCACTGACAACACAAAGCATGTTCAAAGATCTTGCGGCATACAAGACCTGTGTGCAAACAGTTCTACTTTATGCTCCTGGGGATGTGGGGGGAGAAACTTCCTCCTGACTATTTCCAGGATCAAGCAATGAGGTGGATTTGTGACCAACATGGGAATAAAGGCCTACATTGACCTGTCGCAAAAGCACTCAGGAGATGGAGGCGGTTTTACCGCAGGCACGTTTATTCACCAAAGTCCCTCACATGAGGACCCGAATTAAGCAACAGAGTTATTACTCATCTTATAAACCTCAATATCTATTTTGCCATCAGACACTGATGCAGCTCCCTTTTAAAATGGGTCAATTTACCCCAAATTAGCTACCTTATCTGGGAGACTATTGTACAGATACACTATCCAGCGACCGGGGGAAAAAAATATACTTCTAATCTCTTGTCCAACTGCAGAATTTCATATTTATGACCTCTGGTTCCTCTGCACGGACCAAATTAAATTGTCCGCTTGCATCAACCTTATCTACTTTTCAATATCGCAAATATCGTTATCGTCTCTCCCTTCAGCCAGTGAAAACATGTAATTTGGGCTGAGTTTTTCTCTTCACCGTGTTTGCTGATGGTCTGGAATTGCCCATGTTAACACTTGTGCAAGTCCATTCCACAAGGTGCCAGAGTCAGTAGCACTCTCACCTCCTGAGTCAGAAAGTTGTGGGTTCAAGCTGCAGGTCAGGGTCTTGATCTCACACAGTCCAGGCTGACACTCCAATGCAATGCTCGGGGCTGAGCTGCATTGTAAGTAGTGCGTCCTTCAGATGAGACGACATCAACCACAACAAATTGCATTTGTATAGTGCCTTTCACGTTGGGAGGACGTCCCAAGGCGCTGAACAGTCAAACGTTTGCACCCGAGCTGTGGGCTTCAGTAGAAAGGTGTGGAGGGCAAAGGGGGTGGTGATGGGAAGATGACTGAAGCCACGTTCAAATAGGAAGGTCTTAAGACAGGCCTTGAAGGAGACGAGAGAGGGGATGAGGCAGAGGGACTCTGGGATAGAGTTACGGAGGATGGGGGCAGCACCGCTAAAGGCCTGACCTCTGATGGTGGAGGGGTATGGCGGGGCCGTAGAGCAGGCCAGTGCTCGCTAATATCAAATGCAAGGATTATTATAGTAGTTTTTTAACCGTTGTGACTGATTTCACCCACACTGTCCTGCAGGCTCAGAGCACCTCATCCCAGGGACTCATTGATCCATTGCATTAAAGACACTGATATAATTCAGTAGCTATGATAACGTGTGAGATAAGAGCACAAGCTCTTGACTGCTACTGATAGACTGTTTGCGACTGATTGGGATCTCTGAGTGTGTGGTAGAACCTCAGTAAAAGTCTACTGGTGCAGATTAATTATGTCATGAGGTGCTTTGTACCTTTGTAGATTGTTAAACGCTGACAGTCTCCTTAATCAACAGCAAAGAATCTTCCACCAATGTTACAATGCGAAGGGCAGACCTTGAGCTGAAACCAAAAGATAAAGAACAATGCGGGAAGTGGGAAGCCGGAGAGATAGTGTGCATTATATGGAAAGATGTGCTTGGAAATATATTTAAAACGTCGCTGAGAAGTTAAAGAAATTAGTATACAATTATTCATTTGTGCTATTCACATACTGATAGAGGCCTTGAGACATTTGTGCAGTTGATCAGGGGGTCAGGTATCTACATAACAATACAGACACACAGTTATTCATATTTTCCTTCTTACAAAGGACATGTATTGAAGAGGATTTGCATATAATAAGTACTGTATAACTTAGATTTTGTAGGCTGCCCTTGACACTGCCTTCTCCGGATGTTGGAGGCGTTCTGCAGAGTCGGACGGGATGTTAAACCAAGGATTCTCGCCTGCCTGTTTCAGACGGACCTCAAAGATCCCATGACACTATTCATTAAAGAGAAGGGAGTTTCTCTTGATGTCTGGCCATTGATCCTTCAAAATAATTAGTCATTTACCTCACACTACAAAGAACAAATCACAAATTTAGATTTACACCGCACCTTTCATGTCAGGAGGACATCCCAAAGCACTCGACAGTCTTAGTTGGGCACCCCAACTGGTGGGGGCCAAGGAGAGGAAGAGGAAAGTTGATCACAGGTAAGGTCCCAAGTTAGCTGCCCACAAAAAGCACATAGCCACTACACATTACAGTTTACGTAAAACTCATATATTTTGTGGGGACCAAAATAATTAACCTGTTACAGTCATTGATTATCCTCCACATAAAGAAAAACTTCCTGGCGTCTATCCTGATATTGCCCTTTACAACTCTAAACCTATGTATTCTTGTTCTACTGTCTTGATGCATCCGGAAGTATTGTTCTGCGTAAGAACATACGAATTGCTGGATGAAAGAAGAACCAAGGTCCATCCAATTTGCCTTCCACCATCCTTGCACATGTCATGTCCCAAACTATATACTGTATCCCAAGATATTATTTCCTAATACAAATCTACTTCATTTGCTTTTGAAAGAATCAATAGTTTCTGCTTCCACCGACTCCCTAGGGAGCCTTTTCTATACATTTGCTACTCACTCACCAAATAATGTTTCTGCAGATTTGTTTTGAATTTACCTCCCCCCCCCCCCCCTACAATCGCAGGCCGTGCCCTCTGATTCTACTATTCTAGACAAGATAAAACAGCTTATCATGTTCTATATTATCCAGTCCCTTAGAATCTTAAAAACCGCAATCATCACAGTTCTCAGCCTCCTCTTTTCCAGGGTGAACATGCCCAGTTTTCTCAATTGCAGCAGTATAATAGGCTGAATGGCCTCCCCCTGTGATGTGCGTTCCTATGGTTTTTGAATGAAGTGAACACAGAATAGATTGTAGTGGGAAGCGGTGGGGGGGGGGAAATTGTGCTCAGTCAGGGGCCCATTCTCTATCAGTTTGATAGAGAATGGGCCCCTGACTGTTCCACCAGCGGTGACCATCGGTGACATTGACCCCTTTAACTCCCCGACACAGCACGTCCGCCAACATTCCGATCGGGATGCTGATGTTTCTTCCAACAGCGAATTATTCTGCGGTGTTTAAATGGGTCCCAGCGTCCTGGCCTCAACAAACCCTTCATGGCAACCTGTTCCAGTTTTTTGCCCTCCAATTGCCCTCTGTGTAAAGGAAAACTTCCCGGTGTTCGTTCGAGGGCTCTGAACTCCCAATTTTTCAAAATGTCTGAGACGCTACCACTTGCTATATAAATGCAAGTTGTTATTATTCCATGTCACTCTGTTTCCATCTCAGTGATGACCAACCCCATCTCTCCCGCCCCCTCCTATATACTCTCACTGGGGGGATTTATTTAATAATAATAATCCTTGTATTTGATACAGCACCTTATCACATCGTTGAGACTTTTCAAACTACAGAATATATTATAAAGTGA